ATTTTATTGATTTTCCACAGAGAGGAAGGGAGAGAGATAGTTAGAAACATCGATGAGAGAGAAACATCAATCAGCTGCCTCCTGCACATGGGGATGTGCCTACAACTCAAATACATGCCCTTGACCGGAATCGAACCTGGGACCTTTCAGTCCACAGGCCAACGCTCTATCCACCGAGCCAAACCGGTTCGGCAAGGAATAGCTTTTGAAAAGGCCCAGAGTTGGAAGATGGCACTGCGTGCTCCAAAAATGTGTCAAGTGCCCTGTGTGAGATGTGGCTAGGGAGGTAGGCAGGGGTCCTCAGAAAAGGCCTGAATTTCAGGCAAAGAAGCAGGGCCTTTGGCCCATATGCAATGGGAGAGGCATCGCACAGTGGAGCCAAGGTGAGGGAAGAAGATCAGATGTACATTTGGAAAGATCTTTCATACTTTTACTGGGGAGGCTGGGAAGACATTGAGGCAGAGCAGTTTAAAGACTGTTGTTGCCCAGCTGGTATAGCTCAGTTGTTGAGAGTCAGCCTATGGATCAAGAGGTTGATGTTTCGATTCCAGCCAGGGAATATGCCCAGGTTGTGGGCTCAATCCCCAGGAGGGGGTATGCCGGAGGCAGCCAATCAATGTTTCTCTCTCTATCCTTCTCCCTTCCTCTTTCTCAAAAATCAATAAAAACATATTTAAAAATTTAAAATGGCTGTTGTTATAGGCTGGAACTTTAACAACATCCATCCAATTCTTTTATCTTACTGATGCGCAATCTGAGGCCCAAAAGTTAAAGTGACTTGCTCAAGGTCACCCAGGAAGATTAATGGCAAAGTCAAGGCTTCACCTGCCTCCCAGCACAGGCATTCTCTACTGCCCCAGTATCGTCAGGAAGAGAGACAGCCCACTGAGATTTCCCTGTTGTCCTTTGCCTCTGAAACTGTCTTGTGCTCTGCCCCTACTGCAGACCAGCCTGCTAGGGCAGCGACAGGGAAATGTTCCCAGAGGACAAGGCAGGGAGCACTGCCCAGCTGCTTCTGAAGCTGGGCTGCTGCTGCCTCTACACCAATCAGGGAGCTTTCCAGCCACACGAGGAAGCCAGGAGCCAGGGGGTGGGGCAGTGGTGGTTTATGACTGCACAGAAACAGCAGGACACTAATGTCTCTGACTAGCCTGCTTGTCTGCCTACTTAGCCAGAGAGGATGCTTCTAAAGGTCATGTCCTCCAACAATGGAGATGGGGTGGACGGTTAGTCATACAGAGTGCCTGTCAGTGCCCTTGTGTCAGGTCGGCCACCAGAGGGCAGAGCCCTTCCTTTCCTGAGCACATGCCAAGGGGTAGATAGCCTGGGTAGGAAAGGGTGTCCTGGCTATGGGGAGTCCAGAAGATCTGCCTGGTTTTGAATTCAGTCTCCATCAGTCACTTGTGACTGGTCACACAGCAACGGTGTCTCAACTTTCTTGCCTAAAAAAAAAGGATGATTCTGCCATAGCCAGTTGCTCAGTGGTTAGAGCGTCGGTCCTCAGACTGAAGGGTCTTGGGTTTGATTCTGGTCAAGGGTCAAGGGCACATAACTCATTAGTAACTCATAATTTGGTTGCAGGCTTGATGGGGGCGGGGCTTGGGTCACGGTGCATGTGGGAGGCAACCAATCGATGTGTCTCACCCTCTCCCTTCCACTCTCTTTAAAAATCATGGGGGAAAAATATCATCTGGTGAGGACTAACAACAACAACAACAAAGACCCACCACCACCACCACAACAAGGATGATTCTGAGCCTCTCAATCCTTGGAATTCGACCATCTCCCAGGTCCTTAGGTATAGATCCCTTGTTTCCACAGCTAAAGAACACCAATAGTTTTCTCTTGCAGAAGAGAAACATGCTGAATCTAGAATTATGATTCATCACAGCTGTGTGGAGCACTTAGTTCTCATTTAGTTTAATTTCTCACTTCAGAGGAGGGTAAATTGAGACCCAGAGATGGGGGACAGGCCTTGCACATTGAGTTGGAGGCCAGACAGAAGCCAGAATGCTAGTTCCCCAAAGCCCTGCTTCAGGTTTCTTTCAGCAGTACCAGGCCATGTAGGAGGAAGCCAGAATACTGTATTAAGCCATTATACCATTAATCTTAGTATAATGTCACCATGCCTCTGAAGCAGTCCTCTAAAAAGCCAAGGGCTTCTGGGCTGCTGCAGCTTTAAGCCTAGAGTCTTAAAAAAAATCAAAATCAAAAGGGAAATGAGGGCAGGGCCAGATCTCCCCTGCCCCATTGGAGGGGAGCCCTGATGTGGAGATTGCAGATGTCATTACTGTTTGGCTTTAGAACATCCTTCCTTTGCATCTGCTTGACTTTTCCCAAACAGATTTGGCTTCAATTTTTCTCCCCCCCCCCCCTTTTTTTTTAAGGCACATTGGACTGGTAGGGGAAGGAACTGAGGTGGAGAGGTAGGGGAAGCAGCCTGAAGTGTGTCAGGAAGTTCCCAAGAATTAGCATTGACACATTTAATCCACATATAGACAACCAGGGTCAGGTCTGGCCTGCAGGCAGGAAGAGGAATGACTTGGCGAACAGTTTTATAAGAGACAGAAGGAAGTGGGAGGGTTCATTCACCAGCAGGATTGCATTTTGCTGGGTGGTGTATTAGGGAAGAGGGGCTGAATTCTGTGTTGGAGGAGGGGGAGAAGAGAGCATTCTAGATTTTCTCCTCACTCAGTCACATTCATTCCTTTCTTTAATATGTCCTATATATTTACTGTGCACCAGGCACTATGCTAAGAACCAAGGAGGTAATGATGAAGAAGACAAAACACAAATCTCATTTTCTGCCCTTGTTAAAATCTCTCACAGGTTTTCTATGTTTCAGAATAAAGATTTCACTCCCTTGCCTGCCATTCAGGCTCCCCATGTTTTGGCTCCCGACTCCATCCCTAGCCCAACTATCCATCGCTTTAGGCAACAAAAACTGGATTCTCTGTCTATCAATATATATGTAAGGGAGGAACCTGCCTGAGTTTTTTTTGCCTGTGCTCTCCGAGTGCTCTCAAATCCTGTGTCTTTTAAGAGCTGAGTTGGAAATGTTACCAACCTCCCTGGTGAAGCTTTTCAGAATCTATTCCTATCCAGCCCAAAATAATTTTTTTTTTGGGGGGGGAGCAAAATAATAATAATAATAATAATAATAATAATAATAATAATAAAAGTTAGGCCTCGGCCCTAACCGGTTTGGCTCAGTGGATAGAGCGTCAGCCTGCGGACTTAAGGGTCCCAGGTTCGATTCCGGTCAAGGGCATGTACCTGGGTTGCGGGCACATCCCCAGTGGGGGGTGTGCAGGAGGCAGCTGATCGATGTTTCTCTCCTATCGATGTTTCTAACTCTCTATCCCTCTCCCTTCCTCTCTGTAAAAATCAATAAAATATTAAAAAAAAAAAAAGAAAAGAAAGTTAGGCCTTGACTGGTGTGGCTCAGTTGGTTGAGTATCTTCCCATGCACCAAAGGATCACCAGTTCAATTCCCGGTCAGGGCATACGCCCTGGTTTAGGATTTGATCCTGTGCAGGAGGTAGTCAATCAATGTTTCTTTGTTGCAAGGATGTTTCTCTCTCTCTCCCTTCCGCTCTTTCCAAAATCAATTTAAACACACACACACAACACATTCCAAATTCCTGAGGGCAGGGTCCCATGCCCTCTCCCCCTAGCATCTAGCGTAGAGCCTGGAATATTCCCTCAGACACTCCTTCATTCTGGGTTCTCATACACACTTAACATCCCTTACTTTATATTTTTACTCCTTATCACTTTCTAACATACTCTACATACAGGGGTGGGCAAATGTAGGTTTGCAGTTTGAGTACATGAGTTTATTCTTGTATTATTAGTATTTTATTATTTATTTGTACAACTGTAGATATATTTTTGCCCACCCGTACTTATATCCTGCCTATTTTGTTGAATAGGGTGTTGTTATTGTTGTTGTTTTTGTTGTTCACTGCTGTACCCCATTGCTTAGGACAGTGCTGGAACACAGTAAGTGCTCAATATCCGCTGAATCAATGAAGTAAATAAAATGTCAAAACTACGGGCTGTATGAGCTACATGGAATGTCAAAAAGGGAAGCACACGAGCAAGAATGTGTCAGCTTGACCTCGGTGGAGAGCATTGGTTAACTCCAGACACAGCCCAGTGATAAGCAGACAGGAGGCTCTCACTAACAGAATCTGTAACACTCCATCCTGGAGAGGAAGGAGGGCTTCCCAGGGGTCAGCCGGCAGACAGCTGCATCCTTTCTATAAATTAACCAGTACGCCTGGCCAATATTTACCCTTTCATGTTTTCACCTCATCAGATCCAAAAACCTCAAGGTGAGTTGGGGAACTGGAATCTTGTGAGGGAGGGTAACAGTTTAGCTCCTTAATTCACCTACCCCAGGGGAGGGCATTACCTTGACAGTCTGGATCTACAGTAGACGAGCCCCCTCACCGGTGAACCACCTTGGCCAACTGCTTGACCTCGGAGACCAGGCCCAGGGCTGAGGCCCTGGCCCTTCACCTTTGTAATTTCCTGGAGAATATGGGGCGGGGCCGTGAATCAGCACTAGCTCGGGCTGAAGCAGCCTTCGTCCCCACCAGGGGTCCCCAGCGGCCGCGGAATTACAGCCCATCCTCTCCCTGCGGTTGCGCGCTATGACCACTGGGAGATGTAGTGTTGACCGCCCCTTTGTCCTTGATCTCTCCAATGTATCACCTCGCCGGTGGATGAACTACAACTCCCAGGGGCCCAGGCGCCGGGGGCCTGGCAGGGCGGGGGCCTGAGGGGGGAGGCGGGGAGGCATCTGGAGAAGCTGGGGCGCTGGAACCGGGGTGCAGTGAAGAACCGCGGGTGTTGAGAGGCAGAGAGGAAGGAAGGGACACCCTAAAGGCGGCGGCGAGCTGATTTGGGGAGGGGAAGCCCGAGAAGCGGAAGAGCTGGGGCGGAGCCTGGCGGCGTGCGTGAGTGGGCGGGCCCTGTGCGTCACGCGGCGTGGGCGGGACCGCAGGGGGTTGTCCGTCCGCGGCACGCACTGCAGTCGCAGCCGCTTCACGCCCGTTCCCGCGGTTGCAACTCGAGCTGCAGCCTTCGCGCCGCCTTCATCCCCTCAGTCACCCGCTGCGTGGTCGGCCCCTCCGGCACACGGCTCCAGCCGCGCCGCAGCCGCCTTCTGAGCCCTCAGGCCTCCCCGGTTTTCTCGCCCGGCCCGACCCAGCCCGCGAAGATGGTGGATCGCGAGCAACTGGTGCAGAAAGCCCGGCTGGCCGAGCAGGCGGAGCGCTACGACGACATGGCCGCGGCCATGAAGAACGTGAGTTCCTCCTCCCCTCCCCCGCATCGCCCCAAACCCTTCGCAGACGCGTGGACGACCCGTGGATTAGTCGCCTGTGGTGACTGCAGGGCCTTCTCGCTCGCTAAGCGGACAGGGGAGGGTCCCGATAGCGAATGTGGGGACCCGGATTGTGACGCGGCCTCTCCCAGAGTGTCCCCCAGGCCCGATGGCGCGGCCTTCTAGACCCTCCCCGGGCTAGGGCGGGGTTTGCGGGGCTGATCTCTGAAGTGGGGTCTCTGCCCCCCGCGTCTCCAGGGCTGCTGGGGGCCCCAGCGGGGGTCTTGCGCATCCTTTGTGCCCCACTTCCCCTCCTCCCAGCCTTGGCGTGGGGGCGGGGGACCGCATGGATGCGGTTCCTCTTTCTCTCCCTGGTGTCTGGGCGGCGCCTCTCGCGTTCACTCGGCTCGGCTCCGGGTTTCTTAACATCTTCCCCTCTTCCTCCCCCGCCCCTCCCCGTCCTCCCCGCTGCCCCTCCCGACAGATCCCGTAGAACCTCCCTGAGGAAAATGTAGGCTTCCCCGAAAACCCGGGCTCAGTGGTGCAGAATCGAAACCTTCCCCACGTTTTTCTTAACAAAAGCATCCTTCTCCATTTCCCAAAGCAAAGTCCTCGTGCTGTTAGGAAGGGGGGCACGATTGTTCTCGACATGTCATCTCCATTTTTTCCGAATGTTTTGTATTGAAAACGGTAGGTATTGTCTTTAAAATAAAGGTTGTGAATTTATCTGACTGGTTCAATTTGTGACATATGCTGTTTGTTTTTTAAATACAGGCACACATCTGTTGAAATTCCTATTAAGTTGAAAAAAAATATTCTCTCTAACCTGTTATTGCAAACAAAGCGGTGGTGGGAGGCAGTATCAAGTCATTCCAGAAGATTCTGCATTTGTCATATTGCAGAGAGCCTAGACTGGGTGGAGGCTGGGAGGAGTTATTTTAAATGGGAAAAAGTGTTTTTAAAAATTTTTTTTGTTTTGTTAGATAAATCTAAGGCTTGAGCAGAGAACACACAAGCTAGCACATCTTCATGCTAGTGAAAAGGGAATACTGGTCTCCAGTTGTCTGCAGATTCCTGCCTGTATTGCACCATTTTGTCAGTAACACTACGTTTATCTAATGGGCTGTCAACGAATTTGATATTAGAGGAGGGGGAAGGTATTGAGCATTATTAAATGAAACATGGAAAATTAACCCAATTAACGATTTAGGTCTCCCAATATCTTAATATTTAACTTCCTACCTTATGTAACAAAGATTTTAAAAATGCATCTTTAGTGTGAAGTGGATTTAGATGTGTAGCATGCATGTTAAAATCTTTTTAACAAAGCAGTATAGGTATTACAGATTACTAAATAACTACGAATTCACAAAAGATAAGCTGATGCCTTTATATTTAAGTCAGCTACATGAACAAAATTTTATTTCATTAAGCAAGACAATTGGTTCTGAAAGTGGGAGGACCAATGAATTAATATATTGCCACAGTTGCTATCCTAAAACATTTTAAAGCTCAAATGACAAAAGTTGCATTTTTAATAGTTAAAAATATTGGAAATATATTATTATTTAGACTCTTCTAATTTTTCCGTACTTCTAGTTTCACAGAAAAGCGAGTGACCTCCCACCTATATCCAAAGCAACCCAGTGATGTCACACAATGACACAGAGGCTGCAATGCACCTAAGGGCTGGTAGGGAGTATGCAAATGGCATTTGTCCAAGGTAATGCAGAAATTAGCAGATAAGCCAGGTGGAATTGAACACTTCATCTTCCTGCAGATGAGGATTAGTGCAAAAAATAATTTTATTTACCCTTACACATGCAGGTCAGTGACCTCTAGATAGGCCTATTCATTTTCCTATTTCTAGTTTTCTCATAAGAGTGTATAAGACATTTGTATTTTTAAACATTCATCTCACCATTAAAATGGGACAGTGATGGAATAAAGATAGAAATTTTAAACAATATATTTTTTGATCATAGTGCAGGAATGGGCTGTATATACTTGGGTTTATTGCCTGTTATTAACTTGGCAGGTTTAAAAACCTTAACAAAATATGACTTCCCACTCGGTCATTTTCAGTAAATGTTAGGGAATATTATGTTACAAAACACTCGGTTGGGATTGGAAAAGTTTTCTTTTGCTATATTTATGCTTCTGCTCCTTGATGGAGTTGGAGGAAAAAACACTGTCAAATAAAGCAGACTTCTTTTCAAACCTGTTTACTGTGACTTTGATGAAGTAGGTTTACCTTGAACCTCATTTTCCTCATCTGTAAAATGGGTCAATACCTACTTGAAAAAGTTGTAAGGATTAAATAAAGGCAGTAGGTGCTCAAAATGGAAACTATTTATAAAACTTTGTGGTTTTGGGTGTGTTTGTTTTTTAATAAAAGTCATCTCATGGGGAATTTGGAAAGTACTGGAAGATAAAAAGAAAATACTCTGTCCTACATGTTAGAGGGATTTATTTGCATTTAATGAAATTATTCTAGTAATAGCACTGTTGGGATCTGTGCAGAGTGGTAGTTGTATGTGGATAACCAGGCTAGAAATAATATGCAGTATTTTGGAAAGGAAGAAAAAGGGAAATTTAGTCTTCTAAGACAAATGTGCAGTCTTGCATTTAAGAAGACAATGAACACCTAAATGTTTCCTACTGATAAGACAGTGCTGTCTTGTCCTTTGGATTTTAATGGCCAGGAAGTTAATGTTCTAAGCAGGCTACTAGTATTTGCCTGGGGTGGGTGTAGAGAAAAAGGTTCTGGGCTACTAATTTTAAGTCACTGGGTTAAGCAGTTTAACTCCTGTGTGTGGGTGGGGCATTGGTGACAAGAGGCTACCTTAGTTATATTTTAAGTCTTCCTAGTAGAATTGATAGACTTTAAAATTCTTGCTATCTGAAATACTGTTTTTCCTATTAGCTCTTCCAGGAGGCTAGATCAATAGCCATTATCTCTAATGGAGTAATGACACCTCTGGACTCTTCAGAGGTGGAGTTCTGCCAGCCATTATTCTGAGTCATGTGGTTTCAATTGTTCTCTTCTTGGGAGTGGAAAGAATACAGATAACAATTTGCTTTTTATGTGTTATCCTTCCCAATAACTGAAATGAATGTTAACTGCTTTTTGTAATTATTTAAAAATTATATTGAGATAATGATGTTGCTAAATGTACATCTTCATTAATCTTTTGGAGTAACTGCTGATCCTGGGGAGGATTTTATCCCTTAATACTTATTTATTTATTACACCAAACTCTAAATTATTTTTTTTAAAAGTGGAGAAAATGACCTTGCCTTTTTAAAAAATTCTTTATTGTTTAAAGTATTACAAATGTCTCCTTCCCCCATCGACCTTGCTTTTATTGAGGTAAAAGTCACATAACAAACTAATCATTTTCTTTTCAAATTTTCTTATTCATTGCTTTTTTAGAGAGAGGGGAAACCAGGGGTGAGTGGGGGGCTCTAACTAACTGAACTGTCTTGCCAGGGCACAAATTAACCATTTTCAAGTGTACAATTCAGTAGCATTTAGTATATTCACAATGTTGTATAACCATCATCTCTAGTTGAAAAAAATGAGAAAATGTTATCTTTAAAAGTGATGGTGGTCTGGCTGTCGCTGACTGCATTTCGAAACATGACTGGTTCAGGAATGTGTCAGTAATGAAGTACAACAGCAAAGCCAGTGGTAATCAGTATCCCTTTGTCTTTGTTTTCTAACTTCTGAACCTTTTCAGCATAAATTTTTAAAAAATTACAGAGCTTAAAAACTTACCCAAATAAATAAGAAAATTTTACCTGAAATCAGAGTAAATTATTAACTTTGGAGATCATAGAAATTTTGCTGGTGTTGTTATGTCTCATTTTCCACCCCAAGGCTGACTTTGTTACAGATGATTTCCCTGTTGTGTGGTAGCAGCCCCCTAATGAACCTACGCATTACTGAGAGCGGTGAGCTATTCAAACATGGGATTCTTACCTGATGGGATTCCCATAAATAAGATGTTAAATGCAGTGGCTAGATGATTCTAAACCTGCCAGAAGCTTCTTCTCATCCCCATGTCACTAGCCCTAACCCTTTTATTTGGCAGGGCATTTTTCTGTATTTCTACCAGATTTCAAGGGATGTGAAAGAAAAGAAAAGACTACTTTATACGTTTAATAGTCAAGGGTGGGGGGCAATTACCACTATATAAACCACTATCTTTTGTCTTATTTTTTAAACTCTTTTTTTATTTTAATGTTACGAATTTATGAATTTGAATAGTTAAGTATAAGTTACATGAAAAGTAATCAACAAAAATTCCCAAAAGAAAACTTTAATTTTTAAGGTAAATGGTTAAATAACTGGTCTGGTCCCATGAATTTGCAGAAACAATAAAAATTGTAAATCTTAAAGAGTTTGCATGAGTTTTTCTTCCTTCCTTTTGAAAGAACTGCTCAGCAGGTGTGGCTCAGTTGGTTGAACATCATCCCATGCACCAAGAGGTTGCCAGTTCTATTCCAGTCAGGGCACATGCCTGGGTTTGGGGCTTGATCTCCGGTAGGGGGCATATATTAGGCAGCTTATCCATGTTTCTATCTCTTTCCCCCCCCCCCCCTCTCAAATCAATAAATATATCTTTTTTTAAAAAATAAATGAACTGCTTAAGTCTAAACTAAATTTTCATCAGCATTTCACTTGTAAGGATGTGTCCCAAAGCGGTAGCTTTTTCTTTACCTTGAGTTGAATACTCTTAATGTGCCACAAAGTTTTAGTTGGGTTGTGAACAGGTAAATAGAAATGAGTGTTCTTACATAGATTTTATTTTTTATTTTTTAATAAATCTTTATTGAAAGTATTACATATGTCCCTTTTTTTCCCATTGCCCTCTCCTATCCCCTTCCCCCCAAGCCTTCACCACCCTATTGTCTGTGTTTATGGGTTATGCATATACTCATGAATTCATTGGTTGGTTCCTCCCCCCCACCCTCCC